GAATTGTGGCTGATTTGTAGATTGCACGTACAAAAATTCAGAGAATTTTTTTTTTGTCATTTTCCCATTCATTTCCTATGGGTCCTATTTTTGACCGAAGACCACGACCACTTAGCATGCTCGGATCATGACCTCAATTTTTTTTTTTTTTTGTATTCACATACATAATGCCATAAAAGTCACCAAGTTTCATAACATTCTGATGAAGCTGTGATTTTTAGAAATTCAAAACAGAAAAAATTTAGGTCAGAAATGACGGAAGAGCACCTGAGGGTTAATAGTAAGTTCACTGAGTTACCATATTAATAGGTGGGTGCTGCCACCCAAACCCCCATTGGTGATGAGCCTGCAGTGTTCACTTACTTTATCAGTTTCTTTATTTAAAAAAATAATAATTTAATAGTAGAGTATTTGTGACAAGTATTATTTTATGATGCTCACATCTTGTGCAGGGATGGAAATTAACCTATTTGTCAGTGGCTGGTGGATTTCAAAATCTACCAGCCACTCAATGTTTTTATCAGCCACTTTCTTGTTTTTAACCGACAATGCATTTGAAAATGAACACTACAAGATCTACAATACTACTTAACCAGTTTATTTAATCAATATGTAATCAATTTAATCAAGTCTCAATGAAATACTGACATTTTCTCTATCTCTCTTATACACACACAAACCATAAACTGATATACATTTCTTTAAATTAGTAGGGCATATTAAACAAAAAACTGAACAGATTAGGGATGCGCGGTATACCGGTATTACAAAAATACCGGTATATAATAAATTTCAAACAGTACAATATTATTTTTTTTGTTAAATTCGGTATTTAATGCGCTGCTGTTCCGAAGTTCTCCACTAGGCGGCAGTGCGCTACTGAAACTGACGCGGGTCACGCGAAACCGGCAAACGAAGGAACACGATGGATCAAACGAAGCTCATTCGAATTTCTACACGCCCGAAATTAATTTATAGAGAGAAGTATCAGTGAAATAAGGCTTTACTTTGCCTGCTAAAGTAATGAGAATAGTAAAGTAACAGACCTCAATGCACCACTTTGCAAACGTTGCTTTCATTAAAGTGTTTCCATGGGAGCCAACACATCAAATCTGCCGGAGCGCTCATTAGTTGCTCATCCAGCTAGTTCAAAGAGTTCAGAGATCGACTGGTGAGTTCATCATTCAATTGATTTAATTTAGTCTTGACTCTTTTATTGAACACTGAACAGCGCACATACATTAGAGCTTATCAATTAAATATGATAGGGTAAACACGAGAGATCAAATCTTCTTCTTGCATGACACGGTAGAACCAACCCAGATAGCAAACTGACATTGAATCAACGTGGAAATATGACATCGAAACAACGTTGATCTGACATTGTTTTGCTCACGAATTAACGTTGAACCAACGTCAGACGCGTCATTCTTTCAAAACTAACGGAAAATCAACTTGAAATCAACGCGTTGTTTCAACGTTATGAAAGCAAAACAATTTTCCGATTTTCACTTAGCTTTGAAAAAAGCCGCGTCTGACGTTGGTTCAAAATCAACGTTGTTTCAATGTCATGAGAGACGCCGTTTCCACGTTGATTCAATGTCAGTTTGCTGTCTGGGAATTCAGTTTAGGTCTCATCATTTTTGCAATTTCAAACAAACATATTCATTTAATTTGAATTAATAAAGAATAAAAGTAATAGCAAAAACTAATGGCATTATTGCTGCTGTTGTGACCCATAGAGAGAGAGAGGGAGATTGTAGTAATATAAATATTAATAATATTAGCCTACAATTAAGCTACATTTGTCATAATTCATTAAGGAACCTGGCCTAACAATATAGCATTGAATAATCTAGATCAATCAGTAATAAAATTACCTAAAAATGTAATACATGTTTAGCATAACATTGCAATGCATTATATGCATAATCTATATCCAAACACAAACAGTAAGCAAACCAAGATGAATAAACGCTATAAATGTTCATAATTCTCTGTTGATGCATGACAGCTTATGGTTTACATGCCATTCTATTATTATATGTTAATCTATTATTATTATAGATATTAACCTATTTTAATTGTATAATTTCAGGGTTTTTTTTTCTTTTCCAAAATCTAAATTTTACCTACTGTATGTTCCTTGATTGAATTTATTTTGAAAATTTTGATCTGTTTTTGTTTTTTGACACTTTCTTTGCACATATGGTAGCTGAGAGTTTCAAGCAGTGTTTAATATAATTGTTTCAATTCACTTAAATTTAGACTCTTTTTTTTTCCCCGACTGTGGTATCGATTTAGTATCGAAACCGAGGTATTAGGTTCTGGTATCGTACCGAAAGCCCAAATTGTGGTATCGAGCCATCCCTAGAACAGATGCTAAACCGCACTCTAAGCTGGAGGATGCTCTCTCTGCAAGAGTAAGTTACTGTAAAACTTCAAATAATAGCCAAGTAGACGCCTCTTTTACATGCCTTGGTGTGGCGACCAGCCTAGCGGACAGTCTTGCCTGGGTCCTGGACAAGATAATCTTATGGGACCCCCGCCCAGATCTCTCATTTTCCCTTGCTCTTCTCTCCTGTTCCCCTCCTCTGCTCTTACATCTTAAAAAGACTTCCATGTTTTTTTTATTTTTATTTTTATAAAACACCATATATTTTACCCACTCTGAATAAAAACACGTTTAAATGGGCAATTTTCTTTTCTTACACAGCCTACTGCAGTTCTTGTTAAAACACACTAGATATGAAAAATCTATGCATTTTGGGCACTTTTTGTGTGCAATCATATTTATTTTTGTGTCCATCAAAGTGTGCTTTCACTTTTAATTAAGCATGAACAGTGATCTGGCCCATTATCTGTTCACCGATGCCGACAGTGACTCATTTCAGACGGCTTTTTATTTCTCATCTCCATATATATATGTATATGTAATAAAGCTAGGGGCTAGGAAAATTGATTCTTTGCTAATACTTCCTCATCATCGTGGAGAGCGCAGTTCGCACCGCTTTCTGCTTTCCACAAGCGCGTGCTCTCCCGTGGCGTCTGTCGTTGCTATGCAACAATGAACTTGCGCGCCTCTAAAAACGAGCGCGCCGCGTCGCTTTTATGAGCTAATAGTAGATCCGGGAATAGCGCGCGGGTAGATGTTCACGCAGCTAGCTCTTTACCACACAAGAGAGCTCGATGGAAGAAACGCGTGGGTGTTGAAGGTGCGCCTCCTCTAAAAGTGTCCACCGTCGGACTCGGGTGAAACAGTATGCATGATATTTTTATTTACCCGCCACGGTGGCTGGTAGGTGAAGTGAATTTACCCGCCACAACACAAAATCGGGTGCTAATTTCCATCCCTGATCTTGTGCATAGAGGGTGTAAATGTGTAAATAAATGTGTAAAATTTAATACCAGTCTAAAGTAAATGGGACTTAGTGACACTTATCCACAAGTTTCCGAGGGGCGCTCCTGTAAAAAATAAAGTGGGTGAAACTTCCGGTGAGGCGGCGGAAGCAGCATTCCAATGGTATTTTGTGTGTTAGTTAGCGAAGAGGCTAGCTGTTTCTCTGAGAATTATTTTACTATTTAAAGACGCAAATCTTTATGAGAGATGTCGTTACGGAGCTCAGGGACAACATGTGCTGTTCGCGATTGTACGTATAACTGGACTAAACTAATTCAGTGGCTTAAACGTGAGTGTTTTGAACATAAGCCGAAAACAAAATCAGAGTGATCCTGCCAACGACTGTAGTTTCCATCAACCTCCCAAAAGACGACGAATCTTCCTGTGTACATTTGTTTAAATTCTTAATATTCTATAAACTCTATCAGCATGTGATTGGCTGTTCGCTACTGATGTTACAGCTAAACTCAGGATCAAAGCCTGTGTTGACAGAATACCAAATGTGCCAGTTAATGTATTCAAGCAGCACATTCATTTATAATTTTGAATAAACTCCAAAGCACAATGACTAAGTGTGTATTTTTTTATTTTAATTGTTTGTCAGCTCACACAACTGTCTGTCACCATGCCTTGATGAATATTGATTATTAATAATGTTATTATAATACTCCCAACCAACTACTGCGGAGGGTAAAGGTACTGTTATTTCACCCTTTTTAATTTCGTTGAGGTTGTGTTCCCACATCGTTAGCTAGTTTGGATCGCTATTACTTGAATGACTGTCAACTGTTGAATGAACGAGTGTCAAGCATGTCAAGTCGCGCTTTGTTTACTTCCAACCGGAAGACGCGCCCACTTTTGATGCAAGGCCCCCCTGGGGCGTAGGAAACTTGTGGATAGTCAAGAGAGATATTAAATTGGTTGTGGGGTTCATCTTTACCGTGGTAGTCTCAAATGAAGCACTAATGCTTTTTTTAATACACAGAAATATTCACTGTTTTTCAGTTGAAGGAAGCTTCAGAACCGTCTCTTTCCATATAATAATGTCTTGAACAGCTGTTAATATGCCCTTTTATGTTGAGTATATTTCAGAATTGTTAAGGGTTGTTTTAAAATGAACTTTCTTTGATATTTCTGTTGTGTGAGAGAATTTGATGTTTAAACATTAATTGGTTATTTCTAGAATGGAATTTGAAGGTGCTGTAAGTAGTTTTTTGGACTGTACTAAAGCGTAAAAATACAATGTTTGCAGAGATTTAGGAGACATGCTAAGTTCAATTTTTTTTTTTCTGAAACAATGTTATTCTACTTTGAAATGTGCATTACCCAAAAATATTTTGTCATCTTGGGTTGCCAGTTGGTGGAAAGAGTTTATTGAAAACGAATTGGGTCAAAGATCACAGATCATATGACTTGAGACATATTAAAACTAGGATAAATTAACTCATCAACTTGCAGTCTAAGGCCACTTGCCTTCCATTGTCAATTGCGCTCGAGGGGGCGGGAGATGCAACTCTCTAAAATATTTTCAATTTGGACTGCGGTGCCCATTTCAACCGCTATGTCAATATTACCAAATACCCTATAGAAAATCATCACACCCCTTTAAAAGTGTTAGTTTATTTGTCATACAGCCTGAAATCAAAACCTATTATAAAAAATAACTTTTCCACCTTTATATACAAATGTTGCCTTCATCAAATGAAAGTAAAAATGGCAAAAGTTCTGAATCCATTTTGAAAAATCCATGAAATACTAGAATAACAGGGATGGAAAAGTCATAAGTCCCCTGATGTAATACTTTAAGCCACCTTTTGCTTTAATTACAGCCCATCTTTTTTGGATAATTCTGTACTAGGGTTGCAAAATTCTGGGAATGTCCCAGGCTGGAATATTTCAATGGGAAAACAGGAAACCTAAATGTACTTGGAAAAAAAATTGTTTAGCATATTCTTGGCTAAAAAAACCAAATGTAATGAATTTTAAGTTGAATTGCTACCCTCCTCAATCACTTGCACACACACTACTTACTACAGGGCTATTGAGGCCACACCCCCTGCATGCACTGAGCTTTTCTCTATTGCATGCACAGATAATGTCTAAAATTCCATCTTGCTGAGCATTCACATAAATTTAGAAAAAATGTATCATTGTAAAAACAAATAAACTGACAGAGCAAACATTTAGGTTAGATAATTATAAATAATATTTATACATGTCTATAAATGACCCAAATCCCACACACAAACTCATTCCCCTCTGAAATAATAATAATCTCCCATAAGTCCCCTAAGCGGGGAATTTGATCATAATCAAGGTAAGCACATTGCATGTAGATTTCTAAACAGAATCGTCAATGGGATTTCACTTGATTTTTAGATTAAGTAGGCTATTTCAAATGGATCATATACCCTACACACAATTTCTGTATTTTACAGTCTTGTACTTCCGCAAATAACTATAAAGGAATCACAGTAGCTAGTGCAGACTTGCAGTATATCTGCTCCATTTTAAAGCCTTCATCCAAACTCTCAATAGCATCCTGTTTTGTGCATTTTCTCCATTCTTGTGGAATCTTTCCACTTCCCTCAAATGTTTTATTGTGGTGATTTTCTATGTCTTTCTGGAATCGGCACACAAACCACTTCCAGTAAGGCAGCTGAGAGAGGTCAGGGGTGATTCTCCAGTCTGCATAGACTCCTCCTGCTTTTTTGTGTTTTTTATGAGAAACCCACTCATTTGATACATTAAATCTGTTTTTACTTGCCACTAAAGTTGTGCAAAAATCTGCACTGAGATTTCCATTTCTATAATGGAAGCCTTTGAGACCTGTCACTCTGTGCAAAGGAACGCTGTGATCTCCATCATGGTTTGGTACGGTGTTGGTGCAGACGGCTCCACAGAACGGACACTGAGCCCAACAGCACTGACACAAGTGATCAATCAAAATTTCTTCTGGTCTGAACTCACAGTCCAGATTTTTGTCAAGTGAATCTGTGTTCAACTCTTTGTTGATATCAGATATTGGGACAGTAAGTTCTTGTCTTATCACATCTTCTAGGAGGTTGAAATCCTCAACATCATCATGTTTGACTCCACTGAGGTCTTTTTCAGAGAAGATCAGCACGTCTGAGAGCCGCTGTGTGAAACTCTTCAACCACAAACCAGCATCTCCTTTATTCTCTTGAACATGTTCAGTAGATTCATGTGCAGCTTCCATGATCTTCTGCTGCAGGAGTTCAATGCTCTTCTCCATCTTGGGTAAAACACTGACACTGAACTTATCAGTGATGTACCGACTGACTTCATCTCTGATGAAACTCTTGAAGTGATCTCTGGGTTTACCAATGTAGTTCATGTATTTGTCAAAATCCTCCTCTTCTGCCAGTGTCTTCAGGATGTGTTTCTCCAGATTTGATCTGTTTCCATTCAGTGATGAACAGTTTGATCTCATTTCATCAGCCAGATATCTGGCAGTCTTCTTGTAGACACTCTGCTCAGTGGGCTCTTTCAGTTTCTGACAGATGATCTGACCAAAAATGGTCACTGATGTTGATCCATGACAGTATTTCCGGAAAATATTATAGTACTCTTCTCTCTTCTTCTCAACATATTTTACAGGATCATTGACTTCCTTGAACAGTTTGTGTTGGTCAGTGATAATCGTGTTTGCTCTCTTACAGATGGAAAGAACCAAATCCATGAAGAATTCATTTTTGAACACATATAGACCTGGTCCGTCCTGATGTTCAGTTAATCTTCTCTTGATATAATCTATGAGTTCTTGAATGCAGCTCTTGTTGTAGCCCATCTTTGAAATGTTATATGGCTGAATAATTTTTTCTGTTTGCTGATCAACATCTGTGACAAATGTTTTCACTTGGGTGTCATACTCTTTAGGTAGAGCAAAACCAAACATATCTTTTGCTACTCTGTGGGAACTTTCTTTAAATCCACTGGTTTTCTTTAACTGTAGATAGTCTGCATAACTGGATACAGAGAAGATATCCCTGCACTCACTGCTCTCATTCCAGTGGTCTACAGAAACACTTTTATTGGTGTCACTGAGGATCTCTCTCACATCTCTCATTATATCAATGTCTTTGATTGGAGGAGTGTCTGAGATGATCTTCTTTATACTCTCTTTCCAAAACAGATCAAACTCTTTCTTCAGTGTTTCTTCATCATTTGCTTTATCTTTCAGTTTTAAGGCAATTTCTATGCTCTTTTCATAGAGAGTGTTTTCATGATGTGTCCTCTGAGCATCAATCTTTTTCTTCAGGTCTCGCTGCTGAAGAACCTCATTTAATTTCCTCTTTGTTTCTTTCACAATGTTTTCCTCAAGCTCCTTAATTTTGATTTCAAATGATGTTTTCCACTGAATCAGTATATCTTTATCTCTGTCTTTCTCAAAGAATTCAGACATTGATTTTTCCACATCTTCACTTGTCTTCTTCAGTTCTCTTTGAAGATCAGTTTCCTCAACTTCATGAATTGCTTCATTTTCTATTTGGTTGTGTAGTTTGTTCTCAGTTTCCTTCATGGCACTGCGAAGACTCCAGGTCCACTTGCTGTATTCGGTCTCCAGTTTCTTGTAGCCTGAAATCTCCAGAGAATTTCTGAAGCTGAAGACAAATTGTTCATCCAGTAAAGCCTCCCAGAGATCTTTAATATGAGTTTTTAGATTTGTCAGAATCATTCCATTTGATTTTGCAGTATTTGAAAGAATATATTCTTTTAGCTCTTGAATGTTCTCGCAGTAGTCTGGGTTTGGTGGTGCCATGGGTGGGCTTCCTTCCCAGAGCTGAGCAAAATACTTCACATCATTCTGTACATCAAATCTAATGACATCACTGAAACATTCTGCATCATAATCTTCCTCTTTAGCAGCGAGTTTTGTCATCTCATCCAGTGAATTCTGAAGTCGTCTCCTTCCCTCCATGTTTTTCTCTCCAGCTGTGATGTCTAAGACGTTCTGATGCACAAACATGCAACTTGGTTTTAGTCCGACCTTCTTCATCCTCATGAAGGCCTGAACAATGATCTGAAGAATGTCCTGCATCTCAACTGGGTTTTCTCCAAATATATTGATCAAGGTCAGATTTCCAAGACCAACAACAAATGTGGCCAGTTCATTGTCATGATGTCTTGTTGATGTTCCAGCCAGTTCTAGAGCACGAAGACCCTCAGTATCAACAACCAGAATATAGTCAAATTTTATATGTGTTTTCATCTCGTCTGAGACTCTGATCAGCTGCATGAAAGCTCCTCTGGTGCACCTGCCAGCACTGACGGCAAACTGGAGTCCAAACATGGCGTTCAGCATGGTGGATTTCCCAGAGCTCTGAAGCCCTAAAACTGACAGCACAAAGACTCTCTGGTCTCCCAGTTTCTGGATGAGTTCATCTAGAACAGCAGAGATCCAGATCACAGGAACATGAGCAGCATCTCCATCCATCAGCTCCAGTGGAAATCCAGAGATCATCATCTCTGCTGCAAGACTCGGGAGAGAAGAGAAGGGAACCTGCAGATCTTTCTTGTCCTTCTTCACAGATGAACATGATTCATAGATCTGACCGATCTCCCTCATGATGTGCTCCAAACCAAAGGCTGCAGCTTGAAGATCCTCAGATATTCTCTCAAGTTCTGCTTGTTCAGCTTTCAGTTTTTCAGGTTTAGCATGATCCTCTTTCAGTTTTACAACTGATGACCACTTTTCATCATACTTCTGATGTAGATCAGATAGGTCAGCTGATGTATATTCATCCAGGAGGATTCCCAGCCATTTAAGGAAAAACAAATTATTTGCAGCATTAGAGTGATTTTTAATAAAGAACTTAATGAACTCACTGATATCAGATTCATGTTGCAGTTCACGAATTTTCTTTAAATCCATTTGTTTTATACTGATGTCCATTTCTGTCTTTTCTCCTTGAGGTCGATGTAGTTCTTTGTTCTTCTGACTCCACTGATGCCACAGTTTCCCCTGATGAGGCAGAAATGAGTCTTTGATTTCTGTCAGATTTTTCTTCTCCAGTAAACTCATCATCTGCTGTGCTGCTTCTCTTCCTCTCTTGCAGTCTTCTTCCTCATCTACTCTGATGTCTGAGTGTTTGGACACATCTTCAAGGCTGAAAGTGGAAGATGATTCTGAGAGACAATCATTTATAGTTCTTCTGAGTTCTTCAGATACATCTGACTGATTTCTGTCCTTCAGGCCAATTTTGAATTTCCCTTTCTTCGTCTCAGTCACAGCAGATTCATCCTCAGTAAAAAGACAAATGAGTGGCTTTTTGTCCTTGTACAGGTTTTGGATCTTTGCTGCATGTTTGGCAGTCCTTTGAAGTTGTGGTAGAAGAACAACATTGACTGAGGCCATTTCAGTGAGGATCTGCAGCTGTTTCTCATGATCTCCTGCATCACCGTGTAGATTACAGAACACAACATAGTCCATGAATTTATCCGTGTTTTTCCCAGAGGGGCAGAACCAGGCGATCTCCACCACTCCATCCATCAGGACTCTGGTTCTGCTGCTGCCTGGACAGTTCCTGTGGAAGAACGTGTTGTGTTTCTCATTGATCAGACTGTTCATCAGATGAGACTTGGATGAGGAAACAGAGCCAAACCTGAAGAAACACACCATTTGAGATTTTGCCTTGTAGATCGACTGGGTTTGACTGATGATCTCATTGTTGGTGTTCTTCATCTTCCAACTCTTGTTGATTTGTCTGAATGTCCAGAGAGGAAACTTAATCTGTTGTGTGTCTGGATCAGGAACAAGCAGAGGGAGAGCGTACTGACACTGGGACAGTTTAGTGACCATCAACTGCTTCAGAAAACCATCAGCACAATGAAACACGGCCATCTGAACATCCATTGGGTGGATTCGCTCAGACTGAGTACTTTGTTCATTAGACAAAGACATGTCATCAAAAATATCACCGTCATCTTCAGATGAGTCATTGCCTCTTTGTTGTGTGCGATCCTGTTCATTGTTCTCTTTAACATTAATGCATCTTGCTCTGTAGTTCATCATCAGTAGTTTTTGTAGGAAAGTCTGAATCAGTTCCTCTTCAGCACAAGACTCTTGGGACTGTAACGAATGTTCAGTTATCTGAAGAACATCTGCAGCACTCAGATTATTGTCATGGTTTTCTTCAAGATGAAGTCTGTCAAAGATATGCTGTACATGTTTCCGTACCATTTTTTCTCTTCCAAGCTCAGCTTTTCTTGACTGTAAAATAAAGAACAGCTTAGTAATGACTGGCTACATTCACACAGTGAACATTTTAAATTGACAATATACTAAAATGTATGGCTTTCAAATCCCTCCTGTATACGGTCTATATGGATACAGTATGTGGATAGTTAACTGTAGTGACAGGTAACAACAAAATAAATATTACATTTAAATACTATAATATGTTTTACACCCCTCAATGAAGCATAACCCTTGGCCCACCCACCATTAAGAGTAGTGAGGGGGGAAGAGATGCCAGGCAGATTTCTGTCAGTATTTAACAGTTTAAGCTCATAAACTCACAAACTCTTTCCAGTCTGTTTTCATATAATCAAAGCCCATTGTTTTTACAATCAGATTTGAAAAAAACTCTATTGTATCATGCTGGCTTACACAGACATCAAGAATCAGCATATGGATTATACATATGGATCAGCTAATGGATGCATTGCAGTATGAATCATTTTTAATGGTCACCATTGTTGAGGTTCATATGCTAATTCTTGATATCTGTGGCAGTTTTAAATGAATAACATTTTCTGTAAAATCCTTAATACTATCTGATCATAACATTGCTAGTTCTTATGATGTAGAATCTTAGTTTTTAATACAACTGATC